TACAAGAGGCAGCAACTTAAACCATCCCAAAGAAAAAGAAATGCAAGGAAGTTAAATGGCTGTCTGAGGAAGCTTTACAAATAGCTGAGGAAAGAAGGGAAGCGAAAGGCAAGGGAGAAAGAGGAAGATACACCCAAGTGAATGCAGAATTCCAGAGAATAGCTAGAAGAGATAAGAATGCCTTCTTAAATGAACAATGGGATGAAATAGAAGAAAACAATAGAATAGGGAGGACCAGATATCTCTTCAAGAAAACTGGAGATATGAAGGGAATGTTTCATGCAAAGATGGGCATGATAAAGGACCAAAATGGCAGGGATCTAACAGAGGCAGAAGAGATTAAGAAGAGGTGGCAAGATTACACAGAAGAACTATACAAGAAAGAGCTTAATGTCCCTGATAACCATGATGGGGTGGTCACTGACCTCGAGCCAGACATCCTGGAATGTGAAATGGACCTTAGGAAGTCTGAGCAACAACAAAGCTAGTGGAGGTGACAGTATTCCAACTGAGCTATTCACAATCTTAAAAGATGATGCAGTAAAAGTGCTACACTCAATATGTCAGCAAACTTGGAAAACTCAACAGTGGCCACAGGATTGGAAAAGGTCAGTTTACATTCCGATCCCAAAGAAGGGCAATGCCATAGAATGTTCAAACTACCGCACCATTGCACTCATTTCACATGCTAGCAATGTTATGCAAAGTGATGCTCAAAATCCTACAAGCTAGGCTCCAGCAGTAGGTGGACTGAGAACTACCAGAAATACAGGCAGGATTTCGAAGAGGGAGAGGAACTAGAGATCAAATTGCCAACATACGCTGGATCATGGAGAAAGCTAGGGAGTCCCAGAAAAACATCTACTTCTGCTTCTTTGACTATGCTAAAGCCTTTGATTGTGTGGATCACAACAAATTGTGGCAAGTTCTTAAAGAGATGGGAGTACCAGACCATCTTATTTTTCTCTTGAGAAACCTATATGTGTGTCAAGAAGCAACAGTGAGAACTGGACACAGAACCACTGACTGGTTCAAAATTGAGAAAGGAGTTCGGCACGGCTGTATACTGTTGCCCTGCCTATTTAACTTATATGCAGAACACATCATGAGAAAGGTGGGGCTAGATGAATCACAAGTTGGAATTAAGATTGCTGGGAGAAATCTCAACAACCTCAGATATGCAGATGATACCACTCTCGTGGCAGAAAGTGAAGAGGAACTAAAGAGCCTCTTAATGCGGGTGATGGAGGAGAGCGCAAAAGTTGGCTTGAAACTCAACATTAAGAAAACTAAGATCATGGCATCTGGTCCTCTTACTTCCTGGCAAATAGATGGGGAAGAAATGGAGATAGTGGCAGATTTTATTTTCCTGGGCTCCAAGATCACTGCAGATGGGGATTGCAGCCAAGAAATTAAACGACGCTTGCTCCTGGGGAGGAAAGCTATGGCAAATCTAGGCAGCATATTAAAAAGCAGAATCATCACCCTGCCAACAAAAGTGTGAATAGTCAAGGCTATGGTTTTCCCAGTTGCAATGTACGGCTGTGAAAGTTGGACCATAAGGAAGGCTGAGTGCCAAGGAATTGAATACTTTGAATTGTGGTGCTGAAGGAGACTCCTGCGAGTCCCTTGGACCACAAGGCGATCAAACCAGTCAGTCCTAGAGGAGATCAACCCTGACTGCTCTTTAGAAGGCCAGATACTGAAGATGAAACTCAAATACTTTGGCCACCTAATGAGAAGGAAGGACTCCCTGGAGAAGGGCCTAATGCTGGGAACAATAGATGGCAAAAGAAGAAGGGGATGGCAGAGGATGAGGTGGCTGGATGGAGTCACTGAAGCAGTTGGTGTGAGCTTGGGTGGACTCTGGGAGATGGTGCAGGACAGGAAGGCCTGGAGGAATGTTGTCCATGGGGTCATGATGGGTTGGCCACAACTTCGCAACTAACAACAACAACAGCAAGGCAGCCATTGGCCACTGACAACGTGGAAAGCTGGCATGCCCAAGACTGGCTTCAGGGGGAAATCCAACAAAGCAAGCCCTTTCTGCTGCAAGATCTGTTTCCAGTAGGCAGTGTCGAGGCTGATTTGCAACCCGGGCAAAAGCCAAGCATAACCCAGAAGCCTTTAGAACTCTTCCATTTTGGGGGGAACCTCACTAACCCTATCCAGCTGGGGACCACTGGAACACCTGGAAAGGCAGGCCCATCCCTGTCAGCACACTTTTGCCCTGCAGCATCAGGGTAGGAGAGCACAAACCAGGCTGCTATGTTCAGGCCCTGGCCGTTCCAAAGTCTCAGCCTTCTGGTACATTCAATGGTCATTTCACA